CTTTAAACACCTACACTTTCCATAACAAATAACAGGATACAAATAGTTTAGATACAGGAATATAGTTTATGGTTATTTTTCCCTAAACTTGGTATTATTTTGTATATTTTTACCACCGGAGATAAAGTTTGATGGAAAGTGTCTGAAGAAAAAGTAAGTAGGTACTTACCAGAAGAATAGTCTCTTACCATACACGTGTCTTTCAAAAAGGAGGAAAATCTTTTAGCATTTTATGTACCTACCTAATATTTGTTGAAATGTCACAATACATAACGACTACCCCTTAACTCGTCGAGTACCGTATTTATAGACACAATTAAAGAACAATAGGTTGCGGTCACCGGTGACCGCTTGGTGTTTGACAGTTTAAAGCGGAGCAAACGTAAGAAAAAAATATATTAAGTTTGTGTTTCTTCAGTCGAAATATTTCTGTCGCGGAGAACCTAAGGGGTTACCGGGGCTCCGGCTCGACGTGCAGAAGAAGGAACGGGGTGGTTTTTAGTCAGTAAGAGACTGACACTCTTTCCTGCCTCACCGAGGCAGTCATTCGATGATTTTGCCCCTTAAAAAAAGTACTTAAATAACAGCATATAGTACATCATCATCATCATCAGCCTGTACTGTCTCACTACTGAGAAAAGGCCTCTTCTCACACGGCGAAATAATTAACATTACACGGAGAAGGGTTGAGCATTAATCACCTCGCTTGCTAAATGCGGGTTGGCGATTTCAAACTAATAATTAAATGCGTGAGACATACTTACTAAATAAATTATTATGTTTTCGGCTTACTCACGTAATTATTTGACATGCATGGCTTACTGACCTCAAGCAGGGCTTGAAACTAGTCGAGTTCCTCGCCTAATAATTACGTGGGTAAGCCGAAATCATAATAATTTATTTAATAATTACAAATTGTAAGTCCAGGTTTCCTCACGATGTTTACCTTCACCGTTTGTCAATGAATTGACTGCACGGTTGGTGCGGTTTGGGCAACCGGCTACCGCGCAACATGCCGCGGGTTCGATTCCCGCACGGAGCAACTCTTTGTGTGATCCATAGATTTTTGTTCCGGGTCTGGGACCCAGAACAACAATCAACAACATACAAGTTCACATACACATGACACCCAGAGTCTAGGTGTATGTTGTAGGTAAACGCACCCACGACACGGGAAAATTATAGTGTGGGGCAATGTTTATCCTTACTATCCTTACTAATATTATAAATCGGAAAGTGAGTTTGTTTGTTTGTTCCGACTTCACGCCGTAACTACTAAACCGATTGCATTGGATTTTTGCAGACGTAAAGTTAGTAGTTAGTCTGGATTAAATAATAGGGTACTTTTTATCCCGAAAAAAAAATTATATTCCCGAGGGAAAACAAAAGTATTGGTATAGATGGCGCTGTATGTATTAGCATAATGTCACATAGGCTTTTTATCTTTTTGTGATGCGTGCGAAGCCGCGGGTAAAAGCTAGTAAAAAATAAAATAATAATAATGATGTCTAAATAATCTTAGAAACTACATTTAACTCGGAAAAAGTCACCATGGTATTATCCGTTGGTTGTTTTCAACCCCACACCTTCAAGACACAATAATCATTAATGATAATACCTATTTTACCTAGATGCCAATTGAAAAGAACATGGTCCTTCTACTCTGAAACAAGACCATTAGGACCACTATACATTAAATGGAACTCATAGCAGTCAATTGAACAGGACCTTTAGATAACAAATGCTTTCAAAGTAAGGTGTTGGGTTTACACCATCATTATTCACGGGCGTGATCTGTTGCCGCGTGGTTTCACTTTCAATGGGGACCCTCCATCAACTTACCTAAACGATAAATCAATCTAGGCAAAGTGTATCTATGTTGAATTGTACCGTAGCTTGAGTGTGTATGTGTATGTATAATAAGGGTAGATGCCATGTACATACGTATTTTTTATTTTCTTACAGTAACGAATACTTTCGAGGATATATAGATTTCAAATATTGCGTGACGTCACTTCTATGTACTTACATTTTATACGTAGAAAGGTTTATTCCACTTTGTTCACCTGGGTGATTTCACCTAGGTGAACAAAGTAGACTTTTTGGAGTCCTCAATTCACCTGGGAATTATTTCACCCAGGTGATATCACCTGGGTGAATTGAGTTGACCCAAGTAGTCTCCTTTGTTCACTTGTCAATTTAATTCACCCAGGTGCACAAAGGCGACTTTTTACTTTTACGTTGTGGACTTATATCACCTACCTACCTTACATCAAGTTAAATAAAAACTTTCAATTTAACATACATTTTAATATGTTCAAATATCAGATTAATGTTGGTCTATTACACATGCAAAAATATATCTCAATTTCTAACACTACGCTAGGAGTTCCAGCTTATAGCTGTACACTGGGTATAATTACGAACGAAATTTTATTTCCACATGTGGTCTGAAAATCCGCCTAAATGTTCATTGAAGTGTACCTACTTTGCGGTGCCACCAAAACTATTTATCTATACTTGTAATAAATCTGTAGAGAGGTCAATTCTGTACACGAAATATATTTTTTTATATATAATTATCAGGGGGTGATTGCTACTAAGTAATGCCAAAAATGCATACAGTAAAATTTTTGTCTATCTGCCTGTATACAAAAATTACATACTTCGTGTACTTCGTGAAAATCCGCCTAAATGTTCATTGTGACGTTTTAGCTCTCACTCCTAAACTTTGATTCGTTTTGTCTAAGTATTATTTTCTTGTACGACAATAAAAAAATACGTGTCTAATAATTTTCAATTATCTAACTTATGGACTAAATAGATTGTTAATTTTCATACCTTATCATCATCCCTATTATGTCGTTACTTCCACGCCGTTAATTTAGCAGCTCGGTACCTATTAGTCATAGCGTAATGTTTTATAGCTTATAGATATCCTCCATAAATCCACTACCCAACCAAACCAAAAAGATAACGATTCAAATCGGACCAGTAGTTCCTGAGATTGGCGCGTTCAAACAAACAAACTCTTCAAAAAAAAATAATAAGTATAACATAAGATGAATGGGAATATATTTACCTACCTAGGTTTTTTCTTTTTTTTTGACATAAGCCGGTAATCGAGCAGACGGATCACCTGATGGTAAGCAATCGGCGTCGTCCATGGACACTGAGAACACCAGAGGCGTTACAAGTGCGTTACCGGCTTTTTGGGGATTAGGAGTTTGAGGATCGTGGGGATTCAGGGATTGGGGAGATTGGGGAAGTGGAGGGTAATTGGGCCTCCGGTAACCTCACTCGCACGACGAAACACAACGCAAGCGTTGCTTCACGTCGATTTTCTGTGAGGCCGTGGTATCACTCCGGTCGAGCTGGCCCATTCGTGCCGAAGCAAGGCTCTCCCACACTATTTTGTTTTCGGCTTACTCACGTAACTGTTTGACGAGGAACTCGACTAGTCTCAAGCCATGGCTTGAGATATAAATAGAATATGAGCCTCTGGTATGAAAGGCTCATATTCTCTGGTGTTCCTGGTGTCCATAGGCGATGCCGATGGCCTACCATCAGGTGATCCCTCTGCTCGTTAACTGCCTTATTCCATAAAAAAATGCTAAACAAACTGTTAAATAGCATGTTCAAAATTCTTTAAAAGAACGTCAGATTCAATCTCTTTGTGTCTCACCCATCAATACAATACTTTTGCATAAAAATCTGAAAAACAGACTAGAAAATATTATACGCAGTTTTTAAATCCAACTTCAATAGATGAAGATTAATGTGGCTTTAGTTCAAATACAGGCGGCCTTCTTTTTCAGGCCACAGGACACAGCTGTCGGTGACAGTTACTGAGAGAGGTCGCTGCAGATTTCATAATGCAGTTTATAATTTAAGTCCGTTCGCTAAATTAGAGTGGGTTTTGAATAATGGTTGAATATGGTGACTTGTTAATTTAGATGTTGCGGGTCCGGTCATCGACTTGATTCGATAATAAACTTATGAAATTTCGTGATTATAGCCAACTAAAGAGCGTATTTATTATTTTATAGGTAGCAATTTTTTATTATTATTTTTTTTAGGTGTAAATATTTTAGTTCATAGTTATTAATATTTTAAGTTGTATATATTTTCCTTATATTGTTGTATGGTAATAAACGAATACGTAATGAAAAAAAAAACTAAAGAGCTAATCTAACTTTACCCAACGGATTAAGCTATTATGAGGATGTTTCAAATATCTTTTATTTGATTTTCACCCTTATTTTTAGTGAAAAAGGACTTAGTATCCATTAAAACTAATAAGTTCGAGGTGCCTTGATCTGTTATGTATCACATTATGATTTAGAGACCTTACTTAACAATATTTTACTACCAAAGATACTTAGTAGGTACCATTAACTACGCACTACAGATAAAAAAATACAAACCAAATTATTTGAGGTGCTTTAAAAGCTGTTCCAGATAAAACGTTTTTGTCAAAACAGAATCCAAAAGTCATTGGTATTCAATTTCTCATTTGTCTGTATGAAGGTTTTGATCCTTTTTGCGTTGTTAGATGCATTTGTAAACAGTCATGATTAATGATCTAAAAAAGGACATTGCCCACCTCTCCGTAGGCTATTATTATGGCATCTTATAGTAGGACTATTATATCTCAGGCAAATGACACTAGCTCGGAGCGAATGGCCTTTAGTATCATTTAGCGTCATTAACTTAGTACCTACGTTCTTGCTAGAAGTGACGTAGAGTGAGATCGTTAATAATATTTCTAGTAAATAGTTCTTCAAAAGTGACAGAAATGAATTTTATTTTGTACTTGGTAGGTTATTGGTACTTATGATAAAAACTTGAGAAAAGATCTAGTACCTACTCTAGTACGGTCCACACAGTCAACAACAATTTTTAACATACTTTTTTACACGCGAACATAGCCGCGCTTCAAATTTTGTAGACGATTTGTATTATAATTTTTTCTATTTTCTTCTTTTTTTACTCCACAGGTAACCTTCTTTCGTTCAGAATACTTGACCCAAGAGGAAGCTCTACGTCATCCGGATGGCGTGACCATGATTTGCTACTTGATAAAGGTTTGCAGTCAAAAGTGGGATCATCATAATTTCTTTGCAACAATAGAAGTCTAACATTCATTATCATCAACAGCCTATAAATGCCCACTGCTGAGCAAAGCCTCTTCTCACACGGAGAAGGTTTGAGCATTAATCACCACGCTTGCTCAATGCGGGTTGGCGATTACAAACTTATAATTAGAAATTATAAGTCGAGGTTTCCTCACGATGTTTTCCTTCACCGTTTGTCAGTGGTTTCTGAATAATCTTAGAAAGTACATATAACTCGGAACTCGGAAAAAGTCACATTGGTACTTGCCGTTAGTAGGTTTCGAACCCGCACCCTCGTGCATGAGAAGCGGGCGTCTTAAACCTCCGGGCCACCACGACATTAACATTACCTACCTATCCCTATTTACAGTACGATGTCAACCCTGATGCGAGATTGAGCTGGGTAATCGAAGGATTCCAAAGAATACAAGAGGCGCAAAAGTTCACCCGCATAGGCCCACTTCCGATGTCGCGGCTCCTGCCGATGTTCTATGAAGATTATTTCCTATACTGGGGTAGTCTGGAAACAGTCAAAGGGGACTCGTACGTGATCAAATGGCTGGTACCGAGGGCAACTTTATTTGCTTCATTTGAGCAGGTAGATATATATAAGAGTACTAGCTTTGACTCGCAGCTTCGCTCGCGTCACAAAAGGATAAAAAGTAGCCTATGTGACATACCTATACCAATACACATAGCACCATCTATACCAATTCTTTTGTTTTCCCTCGGAAATATCAAATTTTTCCGAGATTAAAAGTACCCTATTATTTAATCCAGACTTCTAACTATACGTCTGCAAAATTTCAAAGCAATCGGTTCAGTAGTTACGACGTGAAAGCGGAACAAACAAACAAACTCACTTTCCGATTTATAATATTAATATAGTAAGGATAAGACTGATTATAAGTACCCGTCTTTTACATTGTGAAATAGACGAGTACTTATAATCAGCCTCAAAATGCAAGGGACTGAAAATCAAGCTTAAGAGCGTGCTATTGGAGAGACCCATGACCAGTGGTATAGGTATGCCAACGAACTAATGATATTATGTGGGTAAAATACTCCTAACGATTTATCCCATGGGTGGGTATATGCATAGCCCTTCATGCAAATACTTACAAATTCGCTGGTTAAGATCACTAGGCACGTATAACCTCTAATTAGGTACCTATAATCTGGACTTTATAGGTATTTCCTATTAGGTCAGCAAAATGTCTTCCTAAGGTATGCTCTAATTGTGTTTCAATTAGAAAATCCCTTTAAGGGATTAATATGTACAAGAATTTGTTCAATTTTTATTTGGAAATGGATGCAGTCGTTTATTAATGTAATCTTTTTTATCACATCTTTGGACAGATGAGTGAGTTCCGGAAACTGTGGGATCCTTGGGATGAACCAAACTTGAGAAACTATAGACCATTACAGGAACGACAGAACCGACATATATTCTTTATAAACGCCCACTGGAATCAATACAATTCATTGTTACCTATACCAAGAGTTCCAGAGCCGTCTATATCGATATTGTCCCCTGCTTATCGAAAGAATTCTTGGATGCTACCAATACAGAATCGCAATAATGACAATGTGGATTCTGAAAATGCAAAAGTTAGTGCTACTCACTTTGTACCCACAAAAATTTGAACAGTCTTTTTCAATATTATATCTTTTTCAAGAAAAGAAAGGAAAAAGAATACACTATTTATAGTATATATGCTATATATAGTATTTTTTTCTATGATTCTGTAAATAAATGTAAATAAAATGAAAAGAATGTTTATTTTATTACAGAAACCCTTAAACAATTTATATCAACTGTAAATGAAAACAAGTAAGGCTGGCGCTCATTGCCAGCACAGTATGCTTATTATACAATACGGTGTGGCATGGCAAAAGATTTTTATAACCTGGATTGTCTTGGATTTTATCATTATAATTAAGTCATTTTAAATCTCATTTCAATGCCAACTATGTTACTAAAAATACCGGATTCCAAAGTGACAACTTTGTTGATATGTCAATGTCAGACGTCAGTTTCAGACTCACTGTCAGTTGTCAGTGAACATAACAACAGGGTAACCTAGAACTTTTGACTTCAGCTGTTCTGTTAGTTAGACTAAAAGAAAATGCTGAGAAACGTATTACGTACCAGCCGGTGGCTGGCACGGCGACAAATCAATAATATAGTTCCGGTATTACTGCGCCATTATCCACGAATATCTTCAAAAGTCACCAGTTTATCGTTTGACCGCCAATTTGCGTCTACCCCATCGTCCCAAATATCGGATGTTGACCAGGCAGTTTTCGAAGAAATCTGCAATGAAACTTTAGAATCTCTATGTGAATATTTCGAGGAGATTGTGGACTCATCTCCTAATCTAAAAGGAGCTGATGTGACGTTTAGTGTAAGTATTCTTTAATTACTTTCCACGGTCAATATCTTATAAGAACTTTTGTTTCTATTCCTAAAAACAAAATATTGTGTATAGTTTGAATTCTTAATGGATTATTATCGCGTGATGTAACTATTATAACCTAGCTCACAAGGTGAAACCCCACATTAAGTCAGTTTTAATACAACTAAAGAATAATTGCTAACTCAATTTTAATGAGTGTATTGTTTATCCAAGTGTGTGAATTTCATTCTAAATTTATCAGTTTTTCAAACCAATGAGAGAAACATGTAACAGATAAAATATTCTTATCTCTATGTAGTTTATGTTAAGGAAAATTTTTGTTACTAACTGATTGTAAGATAAACAAGATCAACTTGTAAATACTAATTTTAGGTATTATTAACCGTAGTATTATTGCAATGTTCACACTTAACACAATACAAAATAGGAAATCAAACAATATACAATAATTGTATGCACTAATACAAAACAGCTACGCATTAAAATTCACCTTTCATATATTTATAAATAAGTCATTAATAATAATTTACACATTGTGAATATAGTACCGAACTTGTAACAATCTCTGCTGTTTCGGATGTCGAAGGGGGGCACCGGTTGCTTACCATCCTAAAAAAAAAGTCCGATAGTCCTTTACATATAGAAAAATAAAACAATAATTTTTTTCAAAGTCGAACCTCAACCACTACCTATTAGTACCTATGACTTTAATTAATAAACCTAGAGTTAAATATCAGTGTTAATCTAGAGTTTTTTCTCATTACAGGACGGAGTACTAACAGTAGCACTTGGAAATTACGGAACCTACGTAATAAATAGACAAACACCAAACAAACAGATTTGGCTCAGTTCCCCAGTCTCCGGACCCAAGCGTTACGACCTAGTACTTAAAGACGGAGGCCATTGGGTCTATAAACACGATGGAATAAGCCTACACAAATTATTACAAGAAGAAATATCAAAAATAGTGTCAAATAAAGTAGAATTTAATAAGTGTTCTCATAGTTTAGTGTGAAAATTGTAAATTTTATTTATTTTTAGTAAATAGGTTTTATTGTTGCATTTTTTGTTTGTTTTATTTTTCTGTTCTTTTTTTAAATTCAAAATGGAGGTTATCGAGGATGGGAATATTATGGATCGAATCCCTATTCTGTTGCAAAGGGATCTGGAGTATTATCAGGTAAAGAAGACAGTACCTTTGTAGTATTATGCATTGTTTTCTTTTAAATTTTTAGTTAGTTGACCTTTTAAATTGTTGGTTTCCATTATTATTTATGCATCTGAATTTAAAAGACTGTCACTTCACTGCAGAATTGATTAAAATTGCATTTATAATTATAAAACTACCTACGGTTTCATTGTAACTAGTTATTGACTTGTAATTCAATCCCATAAAGGTGACTTTGAAAATTATTTTGTATGAATTAAATGCGTCACATAACTTTACTTTAAGTGTTCAGCATACTTATTTCAAAGTTAAATAATTTCACAAAACTGATGTAGTTTTTTGGGTGATAAGATTACTCTTTATTTTTGTTATAATTATAATATGTAGTCTGATTAATATTCATTTAAACTGTCAAACACCGAGCGGTCACCGGTGACCGCAACCTATTGTTCTTTGATTGTGTCTATAATAATGGTACTCAACGAGTTAATATACTACTTTATACTGGTACTACCTACATAATAAAAACTCCATGCCTAACTTGTAATTGCACTGATGTTCCAGAAAAACCAAACAGTATTATCAGAAACTATTTGCAAAGGAGTTGTTGGTGGTAGACTGGACTTCCCACGGAATGCTTCCTTTGCATCCGTTAAAATTGTACTCTGGCTAGAAGAGGAGTTTTCTATTGCATTCAAGTATGGACATTTTAATATTACTAACAATCCATAAACCAACTTTTTTGTTAATTTTGGATCTTATTACAAAAGTATTAAGTTGATAATCTATTGCATGGATCTTTTTGACCCCTAAAAATCAACTGTTTTACAGGCAAGGTTCAGGCATGTTCGTGATAACGAAGGAAGATGAGAAAGGTGACATTGGAGTGGCAAAAACTTCGGACCCTGACAAGTTCGTGCAGCTCGCGATTAAATCCGGAGACTCACTGTTAGGTAGATGTAATATTCGAGTAGTTAATATGGAGCCCTTTTTATTAAGCATCAAAATCAAAAATATGTTTTGTTTTATGATGTTATTTATTAACCCCACGAGCGTCCTTATGAGCACCCGGTGAATCATAAGAAAAAATACTCCATGCTGCTTTCACTTTTATAAATGTTTTGTTTTTAATTTGACTGTATTTTTTATTTCTATTGTAATGATCCTTGTTTTCGTGTGCCAATGGCCAAATAAATGCATTTTCTTGCATGCATAAGGATAAGGATTTGTCCCACAATCAAAACTCAACTTCATTGTTTATAAAATAAGGTTAATTTCCCATCCCCAGAACACCTCCACATGTTGGCGCAAGAAGCTCTTGACCACGCTGATCTCCCAGTACTGACTGCTACGCTCGGAGCCGCAGCGTTGTTGAAGAACAGCTTGTATTGCTACGTGCAGCATATTGAGGATAGTGGGAACCCTGAACGATATTCTCAGATTCAGGTAAAATATTTTTTAAATGTGAAAATTCTTTAGATTTCCAACTTTATCGCCATACATTTAAGTTGAAATTTCGTTGTGGTAGGTTTATACTAAAAGTATTAGTATTTAACCTGTTTTAATAACGACAAAGGACCTACTTATTATTGATATCATTGATATTGGTGTCCAATAACACATAGGCATCAGCCTACAAGTAATTATACTTGTAAAATTCTTTTTTTAGGAAATAGGCCTAGTGGCCACTGAATCTTTATAGCGCCATCTATCTTTAAAAGCCAACACTATTTCCAGGGTTGTTACAAGCGTTACACTACAATGTCGGAGGCTGTAGGCGAACGAGTACTAGATCTGCACAACAGAGTTCTGTCTTTGTACATATTGCAAGATTCTGGCGGACGACCGATAGATGGCAACACTAGGACTGTGCATGAAAGTGGTACGCCTTCTGTGCAGGGATGGTGGCTTTATATGAATGGTAAGTTTAGTTTCTTGTGGTATTGTAGCGACAATGTCGTAGTGCTGTTTTATTCATTGTCGGGGTAGGTAGAGGTGTGAATAATAGATGTAACACTCAAATTTGGTTATATGGAGCGAGCTTATTGTAGTTCACGTGGTTTTGAGAATAAAAAAAATACTTAAGTATTTCCCCTAACCCGGTAATCTAACCTTACCAGGGGTATGCTCAGCAGTTCATTTGATAAACAAGGCGTTCTATTGTGGGGTTGTAATGCAAGAAAGTGATGTATTTTTCTTCTTTATATTTGCAGGTAGTAGACGAGACCTATGGGACACTGTACCACCACGGATGGCGCAGAGAATTTTCGCTGGAATGCTCAACGAAACACTGACTATTCTTACTGTGAGATATTGTCAGGTGAGTTACCGGAATCATGCGCAAATTTATGTGGTCGTTCAATACTTTATCTACAAGGTCAGATTACTGACATAAGTCTTGGTCTGATAAATTATACAAGAATTTATATGCTTCTCCTGTTTAAACATCTCCTGTTTGACTGCACGGTTGGTGCGGTGGCTAGGCAACGGCTGCCGTGCAACGTGTCGCGGGTTCGATTCCCGCACGGAACAACACTTTGTGTGATCCATAAATTGTTGTTTCGGGTCTGGGTGTGTGTGTGTGTGTGTGTGTGTGTGTGTATGTGAAATTGTATGTTTGTAAACGCACCCACGACACAGGACAACATCCAATTGTGGGGCAATGTTTTAAAAAAAAAACACGTGACCAATAATTGACCTGTTGCCACCCATTGAGCACCTAGAACTTACTGCCCTACATGCTTTAATATCTTACACATCTTAAGAAAATAAAATAAAAATAAGTCTATGGAAATAACAGGGATTTTTAAGGAGGAAAAAATCATTATATACACACACATGAATATGAAATATTGAGTTTCATTTTCTCGTATTACTAAAAGACTACCAATAGATGGCATTACTAGTCGTATTCTTTAACCTTAACACATTTTACAAACGTGGATATTAACACGTTTTACAAACGTGGAAAGTTAAAACAGCGTACTGCGCGACATCGCCGCGACCGCGCTCGCTGCTCATGAAGAAGAACCCCTCTGTGGCTCGAAACTCGTAGAGCTTTACTCAGTATATTCACGTGAGTCACCCGCGATATTTAGTTAATTTTGTATGTCTCACGACAGTTTTAATAAAACATTTAACATAACATAACTTCACGCCTTTCATCCCCGAAGGGGCAGGCAGAGGTGTACATTATGCCACTGTACAATGTAACACCCACTTTTCACTATTTATGTTATGAGTCCCATGTAATGGGGGGTGAGCCTATTGCCATATACCGGGCACAATTCCAGACTCCGTGCTACTACTGAGAATATTTAAAGACCCAGTAGTACTTTGCCCGACCCGGTAATCGAACCCGAGACCCACTTGGCCAACGAGGCAGTCTAATTCTAATTAAATCTAACAAAAACTCTATCAAATAAAAAAAAAACAAACAAAAAACTACTCCGTCACACAAAATAATAAAACTAATTTCAATGGAAACGTTCTTTTTCTCGTGTTCTGTTAATTGAAATGTTCTGTCTAATGACAACAGAGCAAAAAACATTTTACAAAGCTAAATTAAGTATTTTTCTTCAATTTACAGACGAATACAACAGATACAACAACTCGTCTTCTCCTCAACGACATCTTGAACATACTTCTCTGTGTGGCACAGCTATTACCATCAATATGTGCCAATGGGTCTGACTTGGCTGGTTTGGACGTGAAGCATCAGACAAGAGACGTGAGAGATGTCCATGCGAAATGCAATGAGCTGTTCAAGTGTTTCGTTTACAGAGGAGCTGATTTGCATTTTATACATCAGGTATGATATTTTTTATTTCAAAGCTTATAGGTAGGTCTGTAGGTAATGATGTTTGGTCGTGTGTATCTGTGGTATTTTTTTGAGAAGGTAGTTGGGTATGGGTGTTGTGTTGTAGCATGCTTTATAATTTTGCCGTACCCTATATGTGTAGTCGCGGAGAACCTAACGGGTTACCGGGGCACCGGCTCGACGTACAGGAGTAGAGACGGGGTGGTTTTTAGTCAGTAAGAGTCTGACACTCCCTCCCGCCTCAGGCGGGAGCAGTCATTCGATGATTTTCCCCCCTTAAAATAACCCTATATGTGTAAACGCCGGTAACGAAACCATAGCGCCATCTAACTCGATCCTAACGCCATCTATCGAGTGTTAAGACAACTCGTATTAATATGAATTAATATCTGTATATTAATTGCGCTATGATCCCGTTACCGCTCCAAACAGCTCATATCAGATGAAGTCAGTACTTGTAACTGTTCGAAAAAATGAGCCAAAGCTTTGTTTAACTAGATATTTATTTAATGCCTCGTTGGCCGAGTGGTCGTAAGTGCGACTGCAGGGCAAGGGATCTCGGGTTCGATTCCCAGGTCGGGCAAATTATTACTGGGTTTTTTAAATATTCTCAGTAGTAGCACGGAGTCTGGAATTGTGCCCGGTATATGGCAATAGGCTCACCCCCTATTATATACTCATAATATAAATAGTGTAAAGTGTGTGTTACATTGTACAGTAGTATAATGTGCACCTCTGCCTACCCCTTCGGAGATAAAAGGTGTGATGTTATGTTATGTTGATAAAATATTTATTTAATGAAAATAACCAATCTACTCCTATTTTCTTTTAGGAGTTTAAAGAGAAAGATCCACCTACAGTACCGAGGGAATGTCCGTTCCCCTGGTTTACTTTCGTGTCACCAATGTTGTTTGATAAGTTGGACGACCCGTCAGTGAGGAGTACGCATGATCTCTCCAACAAGACCGCTTTTGGATTGGAACTGATTGTTTTGTTGGCACAACCACAACCGAATTGGGCGTTGATTGTTAAGGTAAAGTCCCAATGTTACATAATGACGTACTGTAATTGATCGTGTGGTACACCATTACACTACACCAGCTGTGTATAATACTACTATCACATTATTAAGTGGGTTCATAGTTATACCGTCTGAGCAATATGAATCATGTTAAAGCTGATTATTTTTATTAATATCATTGATTACAGTCATTCAATCACTTTTAATATCCAACAAGGTTTCCTTTGCTAAGGAAAGCACTTATTCTGTTAAGTATAAGTTATTTTTTAATCGAAAGAAAAAAGGAAAGTTCTGTATTTGCCTTGTATGTATGTATGTATGTTTCTGTTCGATTATCTCACGATTGGCTGTACCGATTTTAGTGTGGTTTTCATAAAAGTGTTTGTTAGAAGAAGGTTATTAAAGTTAGATCACTTAGGAGAAAGTTTTAGTGTATTAATTAATCGACTTTAAAAAAAGAGAGGTATAAAGTTGGTTTTTTTTTAAACGTTGTTTATACAAGAATTATTATGCATATGACTCAGAAATTGTGGTCACTGTATACTTTAGCCTCAGTCGCTAGTAGTTTGTATCGAGACAAATCTTTTTATTTTGGGCCCAATTCTCTACTCTGCTCTACCTCTAGTTACCAAAAGGGTAGACCTTTTTGAATTGAATTCAATCATTGAATAAGATTAATTACAAACACGATATACCACAATAATTTTACCAACTGTTTTAACTTGTTCCAGGTACTAATGATGCGCGACTGCCACCTCTCCCGTATGCTCCTGATCCGCGCCATCCGCCACATGAGTACTGACAACTTGAAGTGGCCGGCAGACGGGCTCTGGTACAGCGTACACGACAGACAGAAGAAGTGTAGCGGGTTTCTGTGTACTGCTGACGGATTCTGCAGGTTTAAGGGTGATGTTAATCGTAAGTATCAAAGTCAAAGTCAAAATCATTTATTTCAATTAGACCAGGAAGGCAGTTTTGAACGTCAAAACAAAATATTTAAATATTAAATAATAAGAAAAAAATGTCAGTCTGTAGGTCAGTCCTCTAGTCAAGCTATTTGCTCGTTCCAAAGTGTAGATTTCTATGGATAAGAACGAGCAAGAAACACCATTCGTTACTCTTTTAAAAAATTATGTTCTACAATGTCTCTGATACATATTCCAATACTGTACGTATATGTGAGAACAATGCAAAGACACGCTTGACGCATACGGTACTAATTACAAACCTTATACTAAAATAAACAAAATCTTATAGTCTCATGGAGCTCATATATGCATACTGACAATCCATAACATTTCAGCAGGAGAAGAATTTGCTCGAGTCGCAGGTGCACTTACCTACGTCTTGGCTACCATCGGCAGTAAGGCGGAGCTGAAGTCTACACTATGTTACGCACTCGAGATATCTGGGAGGGAATGGGCTGCTTGCTTGGATAAACGACAGGTATGTAAACAGTGCCTTTAGCCAAACGCCATTTTAGCGCTTGTCTACAGAGAGAGTAGAAAACTAAATGTATGGAGATGACACTGAAAAGTGTCTAAATTCACATCAATCCCATATAATTTCGTTTTCTAATCTACATGTAGACAAGCGCTAAATGGCATTTGGCTAAAGCTGCAGTATATGCATGTAAATATCTATACATAAATAATATGATAAACTTGTAGAAGTGATAATTGTGTACATTGAAAATAATATACTCTTGCCTCGTTGGCCGAGTGGTCGCAAGTGCGACTACCGGTCAAGGGGTCTCGGGTTCGATTCCCAGTTCGGGCAAAGTATTAGAAAACCCATTTTAAAAATCTCAGTAGTAGCACGGAGTCTGGAAATGTGCCCGGTATATGGCAATAGGCTCACCCCCAATTACATGGGACTCATAACATAAATAGTGAAAAGTGGGTGTCACATTGTACAGTGGCATTAAGTGCCGTAATGTGCACATTTAGTGCCACTGGGTATTATGAGAAACCCTCCTATGTAGAAGTGGCCCATATAACTCAGTAGTAGACTGTAGAGGGCTATTAATGATTTACGCCATTTAAAAATTAATTTAAAATCCTTTATGATAAATATGCTGATGCCCAAGTGTACGGATTATTAATCCCCAAATGTCCCCCAGGTATGGTGTGACAGGCGACCACCGTGGTTAGCTGGTATTCTAGCCCTAGTCGGGTCTATATTGCAGTTTATTCCACCAATTTTAGTCAACGCAGTGCAGAGTGGAGCTTCTATGTATCAGGTAATATTATCTGTATTACATAAATCATACATAAGGTACCGGCACATCAAGTAGTAAATTGATTTTTAACCTAATCTATACTAATATTATAAAGCTGAAGAGTTTTTTTTGTTTGTTTGTTTGAACGCCCTAATCTCCGAAACTACTGGTACTATTTGGAAAATTCTTTTTGTGTCAGATAGCCCATTTATCGAGGAAGGCTATAGGCTATAAAACATCACGCTACGATTAATAGGCGCCGAGCAGAGCGAGTGAAACCGCGCGGCAGTAGGTAGTTACAAATAAGGTTGAACATTATTTGAAAACTAAAAAGATGAGAATTCTTTTAATATTATTTCTTCTTTCAGACCATGGCGCTCTGTTTATCTTGCATATCGAGGTCCTTGGACTGTGTTCCCCGTTGCTTCGTGAACGCATGCTCAATAATAGAAGGCACTCTTCCCTCCCATATAAATCCAGTAGGAGGTTCAGTTTTACTACAAATGCTAGTAACTGTAACGTATGAGGAAATACAAAAATGGGCTGAAGAGGAAGTTGAAAAGGAAAAAGCAGGTAAACGCCATCTATTGACGTAGATATAGTTTTATTTGGTGGTAGTGCCATCTAGTGGTGGAGTTTGAGAGTTAGAAGTTATAAACCTATGGGAATTTTGTATTTTGTTGATTTTCAAGTGTGTGATGTATATGAATTTTGTTATGTTGTTATTTTATTTGGCAGTAGCTTCGGCAGCGAACGGAGAGCCGCATACAATGAGTGCAAAATCTAGTAGACCGAAGTCTAAGCAAGTCAGGATCGTTGCTCTTGGGCAAACAAGTGAGTATTTGTCTCTTTTTTGTGCCTTTAGGCTTAATTCATTATGTCTCCTGCAGTAATTCACCGAGGGAAGTGGAAACTATAGTTTTTTTTCTCCTCTTATAATATCTTCTGATTCTCTTCGTTGCGGGAACCAAGACAGTTATTAATGTCCCTGGGATGCGCCGGACTTCAGTGTTCCGGTGTTTTCATGGTTATATCTACTGTAGATCCTGGCTTACAGGAGTTGCAGCGGTTTTGGGAGGATGTGGCGGGCTAGTCCCTTTAAAAAAAAAGTGATATTTGAAAATTTAATAAAAAAAAACTGTTTCTGCCTTGCATTTCAAAACTGCAGTACTTCTAATCTAACACAAGATGGCAATTAATTATTATTATCGTCCAGCAACATCAACGTCCCTAAGTTTCGACGGCAGTCATAGCAGTGCCTCATCTATAGCCCTGGCAGTAGCCGAGGCGCTCTGCTCTATAGATGAGGACGACAAACATACTCGAGACATACAACTACTAATAGAACGGGCAAAGAGAAAAGTTGTATTGTCTGAACAATTTGGGCTTGAAGACTTTCCTGAGTTCGCTGAGTTGTTTGAAGAGGTATTTTCTTATTGTTTTTTAGTCTGGTTATAGGTAGATATATTTTTAAGCCCACAACTTTTTTAAAACTAGCTGTAAAATGCTATAGTCTGTTGTTTTTTTATTGTACACTTAACTACCCCTTATCTGGTTTCTTATAAATATTTCCATCCAAAGGTTGTCTGGATGATGGAAAAATCACCATTGTGTGATAAGACCGCCCATTGTACGCATATTTACTTGAATTGTTTGTTTTAAGCTACTTAAATGTGTACAATAAAGCATATATAAATATATAAATAAATAAATAAAATGCTGTAATCAAAAATATTCTTCAATTCATTAATCTAATTCAGACTTTAAGATAATTAATTTTATTAGATCGAGGATTTTCTCCTGTGTCGTGGGTGTGTTTACAAACATACAAGTTCACACACACATGACACCCAGACCCGGAACAACAATCTGTGGATCACACAAAGAGTTGCTCCGTGCGGGAATCGAAACCGCGACACTTTGCGCGGCAGCCGGTTGTCCAGCTAACGCTCCAACCGTGCAGTCGATTTGCTATTATCTATTGCCCTACTAATAATAACAGGAATGAAAAATAAACAAATCAATATTCTCATTTGTTTTATAACAAAATTCGTATTGTAGGGCGATGTACCCGGGTCTAATGCTGAGCGGGCAAGTGATGCCGCCGCCCTTACTAGCCAGATACTAATGACACCTCCTGGAAGAGATAGTCTGAGAGTAAGTACCTTTATTTTAATGACATTATTTTTATAAAAAACTATCGTGAGACGAACTGACAAAAGGTTGATGTACAAACTGCCTTCTTAATTAGAGGTTGTGGGGGCCCTAGTGTGGGGCTATGCTTTGAAAAAAAGGGGCTATGCTTTAAAAAAAACTTACGTACTGAAAAAAACTCTACTAGATTCGAGTCACAGACCGCGCACGCTGCTCTTAACGAAGAGTCCCTCTGTGACTCGAAACTAATAGAGCTATTCTCACTATATATATTTTTTTTTATGGCATAAGCCGATAAACGAGCAGAAAGATCACCTGATGGTAAGCAATCGGCGTCGCCCATGGACACGTGGAAAACCAGAGGCGTTACAAGTGCGTTACCGGCCTTTTGGGAATTAGGAGTTTGAGGATCGTTGGGGATTCAGGAATTGGGGAGATTGGAGAAAGGGAGGGTAATTGGGCCTCCGGTAACCTCACTCACACGACGAAACACAACGCAAGCTGCTTCACGTTGTTCTTCTGCTCGGCCGTGGTATCACTCCGGTCGAGCCGGCCCATTCGTGCCGAAGCATGGCTCTCCCACACTTATTTATGTGACTAAACAGTTATCTTTAGTTAATTTAATGACATTGTCCAAGTTACGACCTCTGTAATTAAGAAGGCAGTTGGTCCATCAACTTTTTGTCAGTTTTTAGACTCAAAGGTAATGTTACGCATTCCGCGCGCGCCTCAAAGAGCCATCAGACCACCACAGATGGGGCCCAACAGGGCCGATGCCGATTCGGAGTCGCGGAGAACCTAACGGGTAACCGGGGCTCCGGCTCGACGTGCAGGGGAAGGAACGGGGTGGTTTTTAGTCAGTAAGAGTCTGACACTCCCTTCCGCCTCACCCAGGCGGGAGCAGTCATTCGATGATTTTCCCCCCTTAAAAAAAAGGCAATGTTACAATAATACAAATTTTACGATTGATTTTAAGGTCATCTACGAACATCTAGCGCTACATTCAGAGTGGATTTACAAGGAGCTAGGTATCCGAGATTCTTGTGATATTGACATACCTTCTAACAAGACTCCGCTTCTTTATACCATGTTCCATATTGGGAAACAACCTTTTGACCAAGTAAGCGATTGAATCAAAATACAGGGTGTAAACGGAACGCTCTCTAAAATGCCGACAGGTGATGGTGTTTATTGATTGAATTAAATGTTTCTTTTGTGTAATCATAGTTGTAATCAATTGCTCAAAGCTGATGTTGCATGAATAACAAGAAAAGAAAAACTATTAAAATTGGGATGATGACAGGGTATGAAAATTAAAAATCTAATTAGTCCGTAAGTTAGGTAATGAAAAAATATTAGACACGTATTTTTTTATTTTGTCGTATAATAAAACAATTCTTAGATAAACGAATCAAAGTTTAGGAGTGGGGGCTAAAACATCATTTATACGTATAAAATGTACATGGAGTGACGTCACACGACATTTCAAATCAATATATCGTGAAAGTATTCGTTTCTGTAAGAAAATGAAAAGTACGTGTCTAATGATTTAAAATAATCTACCAGACGGACATTAAAATAAAAATTAGGCATCTACCTTAATGTAAATACAATTTCTTTTTGTCCGCGTTTCGGGAGCGTTCCGTTTACATCCTGTATATTTTATTGCAAATAATTTTATCAGTTATTTTTTTAATTATAATTATGGATAAACCACTGCATCCCACTATAATTGAAAATTAAAGAAATCAAACTTTGGTTTATCTTTCTACATCATGGAGTTTCTTGCTCGTTCTTCTCCATTCGAAACTACACTTTGGAACGACGGACAATTTAAGTTTCGAATTAGCAAAAGTGCCATTGATTAATTGTAATAAATGCTTTGAAGCTGACTATAGTTCTCGTGAGCAACAGACTAATGAACAACTTAACCAATACTTCTATAAAGAGGTGACTTCTAAATACGTTTAATAGATTTATTTATTTTCAATCTTCTCAGTTCCTTCGAGGAGAATGGCCGTTACCCTGGAGTACACTGGTCGCCGTCGCCAAAGCGTGGTCAGGTCTTGAAGGAGTGAGAGTTCATATAAACAGACGCACTGACGTCCGCAACATGAAGTCCCAAGGCAAATCTAATAAACAGTTGATGCAACTTTGTTCCATGTTTAAATCAAATAGTGAGGGACTTTTGTAGTGTGCTAACTCTTCGGACATGTTCGACAATCTTCGGGCTACTTCGGGTGCACACTAATAAATGTTTGTAGTGAAGTTTTTTGTAGATTTTATTTGTGCCTTATCATGAAATATTTGTTGTATATTGCTATGTTTTGTATACTATTGTAGACGAAATTAAATACGGTTAAAATGTTAATAAATCGAATACCTACAGTGAAATAAAGTTGTTGCCGTAATTGTTATTTTGAGTTTGATTTACGGATACCAAAACTTCTATTTATATCTCTACAAACAATATAAAAGGTGTCTGAACTGAACTGAGTCTAGTATTCGAACACAGTGATGTAAATATTTTATCAACTCTATTCCCGAAATAAATGCCACAACTCAACTTTTCCACTCCCTATTCATGAGCACAACCAATCATTTCGGGGCAACCCTACCCAATCCGTCAACGATATCTATAAACGTCAACGCTGACATGTCAAAACGTCACAAAGCCGCCCATACACCGCCTGACAAAATATTCACAAAGATGCGACATGAATTGTGAAACATTTCTCTCTACGAACTAAAGTTCTTGAGTGTCATAACTTTAGTATTGAACTTGTAACTTTCTACTATGGACATTGACATTTAAGTAAGTTTAAACACGGTATATTGAATTATAAGTTAGTTAGTAATAAGTTCGTGGAGTGTTGTGAAGAAGTACGTAATTTTGCTTCGATATCTAATATTTTAAACGCGGTACGACTGGCCGGTTTTTCTCGAGTTTAGTTTTGCTTTGAACGTTCGGTTCGTGTTTTGTTCAAGGATCGGAAAGTTTGCCCGCTTGCTGTTTTTTTGCAAGTTTTCTCTATGGTGTTGTTGCAATTTGTTTGAGTTTGAAGGGGGCATCTATACATACCTAATAAAATCGTAGGAAAGTGAAAACTGTACATTGATTATTTTTTTCAAAGAATGCTTTGTGTGTGATCTACACGTGATACCGAAGCAAAAATATGGTTTTTAGATTTTTTCTCTGTTTGTCTGTGTGTATGTCCGGGCTAAACTAAAAAAAATACTACATAGATTTACTTCAAATTGTGCATGAATATTACTAACAGGTCGGGTCAACATTTATAGGCTATATATTATTACGCCATTATCTACTGGGGAGCTGTGAATCACTATTCCACACGGACTAAGTCGTGGGCAACAGCTTATTTTGATCCCAGTCCGCTTTTGTAAATTTTTTATTATTAAAGTGTGTTGTTCTTGGTAATCATTGATTCTTGGACGTGTGGTCGCAAGTATTTGCAGAATGTGTGGTTTTGATGAGTATATATAAAAATGAAACCCGCTTCCCGTTGTCACGCCATAACTTGAGAACGGCTAGACCGATTTGGCTGATTTTTTTGTTGTGTTTGTTACTGTTAGGACTTCTCCTTCATTCAGGATTTTCAGGATTCCATTTTCATTTCCTGAAAATCTTGCGTTAACATGATAAAACGGGATTGCGCTTACGAAGTCGCGCACAAAAGCTAGTAAGGAATAAATACCATAGCGTGAAATGTACTTCAGGACTATTTTGTACTTTTAACCTAAAGAAAAATGACTTGTGTTAAAATCACAAAACGAACCTAAGAGCACACTAAAACGCGCACGCAAATCGAAATGCTTTATAAGCCACGAAAACGGCGTATCGGAAACCGATGCAAATAACTTGACTGGGGTTCGAAGTCCAAATCTTTAGCGGGCAAACAGTGACGGTTGTTACTCTACACTACGGTCTGTATAGTTCGACATGTTAAATGTAAATTGAGAACAGATAAACCATTACTAGGGGATATGAAGTCGAAGGGAATAGGTCTTTTGTGCCAGTTTAGATGAAACTGCCTGTGATGAGTATGTCGTGGTGGCCCGAAGACACCTGCTTCTCATGCATTTTTTTTAAGGGGGGAAAATCATCGAACGCAGGCGAGAGGGAGTGTCAGACTCTTACTGACTAAAAACCACCCCGTTCCTTCTCCTGCACATCGAGCCGGAGCCCCGGTACCCGTTAGGTTCTCGACGACTGCTTCTCATTCATGACATGACTTTTAAAACGGGTACTGGAAAACAATGGATACAACTGGCGTCAATGTAGGTACTCGACTAGCGAACAGCTCGAGTAGGAAGCGACCGGCAGTTGCGGAACGGACTCCAGCGTTCTTACCATACGTGCTGCGCCGTAAATACTGCATCAGGACGATCTTCCGCCCACCCGGTCAGCTAAGACAGCTACTACGCTCACCTAAAGATAAGGATCCGCTGGCTCTGCCCGGAGTGTACATAATACCGTGCGACTGTGGCTCGAGTTACATCGGGGAAACTCAACACAACATCACAACCAGGCTAAAGGAACATATATGCAGCGTGAAGAAGATGGATATCCAGTAGTGGCTGAACATATGTGCGGTACGGACGCGGCTCACTTCATACGGTTTGATAAAGTCTCCGTACTAGCGAGGGAAAAATACTTCGTTCCGCGAAAAGTGCGAGAGGCCATCGAGATAAGCCGACGTCCGGGTTTCAACAGAGATGGTTGCTGGGTACTGCCATCATCGTGAAAGCCGACCTTAGAGTCTACGTCGATCCGCAGCTTGTCCGCCAGAGGGCGCGTTGGGTTAGATGCATAAGTAGCAACACTGAAGCGAGCGCCAACGCTAGCCAGTAGGCTCCGCGACATCGCCGCAACCGCGCATGCAGCTCATGAGGAAGAACCCCTCTGTGGTTCGAAACTAGTAGAGCTTTTCTCAGTATATTCACGTGAGTAACCCGCGATTTTATAATTATAATAGATTTTTAGGCTTTACATAATTATATTATAGCACAGAAGCAGAAGGCTTATGGTCCAACAGTGAACTGTAGTGTATTATAGGCTGTTCATGGATGAGGTTTCTACCTACTACTTACTACTTAAAACAAAAAAATGCTTCCCTAAACAAGTAAAAGACAAAGCATCGACTCTCCAGTGACTTCGAAACTCGGAATAGTGGTCGAATCGACGAAGTTGTCCTAAAATTGTTTATTCAAAGCGCGCCGCGGACGTGATACGATTGTTACGTTCCGGGACGATTCCAATCAAATTTTGATTTATTCCTTTTGTTTCCACTTTACATTTTCGGTAATGTCCAACTGATTTTGTTGGGATTTGACGTGGGATTAAGTTCTTGAAACGCGAATTAAATTACAACCGTGTTTAAGCATGTTAAGCTTGAATGTGATTTGTGATTTTCAAAAAGTGTTTTTACTAACTGCTATGTGCTTGCTTGTATACTAACAGAAAGATGACTGACTCGTTGACCGAGTGGTCGCAAGTCGACTGCCGGGCAAGGGGTCTCGGGTTCGTTTTCTGGGTCGGTCAATGTATTACTGGGTTTCTAAAAAAAAAATCTCATTAGTAGCACGGAGTCTGGAATTGTGCCCGGTATATGGCAATAGGCTCACCCACTATTACATGGGACTGATAACATAAATAGTGAAATGTAGGTGTCTACATTGTACAGTGGTATTAAGTGCCGTAATGTACACCTCTGCCTACCCCTACGCGGATGAAAAGCGTGATGTTATGTTATGTATGATGAGCATATAGGTACTTAATGCATTGTCTATATTCATCCTTTTATTACATCTTACAATATTAATAAACATATATACTCGGTTAATTTCTGTCTAACTGTTACTATCCTACCTTGCAAATACTATAATTATGACTTCCTCCTTTAGAAACTTACGGCTTTCTAGCAAAAACTGCACTGTCTGCTTTTTTGGCAGCCATTGTCAGCACTGTGCAAGTTCAATTCTCTACTGCTAAGATACACTAATAATAATTATGACGGTCAGCTACGGGAAAATGTTTTCGCACACCCATTTCTATTTTTCTGTTCCGTTTTTTAGCTCTTCTGCCATTTCTGGCACTAAATTGAAAGGCGTCAAGTTGATATTCTTTTTATTCTTCTGCGTGCTTAAAATGACAATAATAAATAATGCTCTGTGTAATCTAATGACAATAAGGTAGTTTCCTAAATTTTATTTTAATGTCCATCTGGTACATTAATTTAAAACTTTAGACACGTATTTTTTCTGTTTTCACAAAATTAAATACTTTCGAAAATTTGAAATATCGTGTGACGTCACATCGTGCCACATTTTGTTGCACGTTATGATGTAACGACCTCCCACTCTTAAACTCAGCGCCATTTTATCTAAGTATTGCAACTTATTACGACAAAATAAAAAAATACGTATCTAATATTTTTTCATTATCTAACTGACGAACTAATTAGATTTTTGATTTTCAATCCCTGGCAACTACCCAATATTGAGATACATCCATATAAGTGTACAATAATATGTTATAATGTGAATTAATGAGCTTTGACACGGTGAATCACGGCTGTAATAGCTTTTAAACAGAAGTAGGTAGTCTAATAAGTGACAAACGCGCGTACACCACCCATACATAATAATATAACAAACTTACAGCTCAACGTAGGAACTAAAAACATGTCGCGGAGAACCTAACGGGTAACCGTTGCTCCGGCTCGACGTGCAGGAGAAGGAACGGGGTGGTTTTTAGTCAGTAAGAGTCTGACACTCCCTCCCGCCTCTCCCAGGCGGGAGCAGTCATTCGATGATTTTAGAAATAGTCTGAGCTATTGCAGACGGGGGTGCGCGGCCCATACAGTTTTCCCCACCATCCTTTCTACCTAAATCATAACTCCTTATACTAACACAATTCAAATTCACAGCGTCCCATACACTCTAGAACCCAATATATCATCCTAACCAACCACCCCATTCTATTACAAATGGAGTTGCAATCCCAGCATTGCACCTTATTACTACCTAATCATACGATATCCGAAACACATAAACAATAGGTTCCCATTTCCTATACGGGCAGACTTCGCAATCTTAGCGAACTATTGACGAAGTTTTAGAAGTAAGCATAAATTGTGTCTCTAGCCAATAGTTTGGAAACTGAATGTCCGC